TTTTATTTAAATAGATGTTTAGGTATCAACTTTTCACTTATTGAACAAAGAGTGATGTTGTGTATTTTATGTAAGTTATTTATTTAATCTTTTTCTGAATAACTATCATATTATATATATATATATTTTGGAAATTGATTATTTTTTATCTTTATATAGTGAGAAAGTATGAGGTGTCTTTACCAGCAGATAGTATTCATAAAGATAAACTACGTCTTGATCGATCTACTGGTCCACTTATGGCACCGCTGCCAATACACTTAATATTTAAAAGAAGAACAGAATAAATAAGTTCATTATTAAGCAATTGAATTAGTTTGCATGCATGTAGTTAGTCAAAAAAGATTTTTTCCGGCATATTGTTATAGGTTTAAAACGCTTTATAAATTTTAAATTTGAATATGTAACCGTATTTTTAATTGCTTTGTCCATTGTCTTCAAGATAAAAGTCTTCTATTTTTTAAATAAATTTACAAAACTCGAATTGAATATTTTATTATATTTATATGATTTAACGGTCAAGTAAACCATAGTCGCATTTGGCAGCAGCCAAGCAACCTAATTTTTTGGCCGCAAATCGGCCAAAAGTCACATGACTTTGCCAAATTTTGGCCGCGGTTTTTTTGCAAAATACAAAAAATTGACGCCTCTGACGTTCGGGACGTTCAATTTATTGCAGAATTGCAAAAAATAATTGACGCCTCAGACGTTCGAGACGTTCAAATTCTTGCAATTTTGTTACATTTTGGCCGTGGCCAAACGGCCAAATGCCAACACTGACATAACATATATTATATTTTCTTTTTCACATTCACATAACTTTGAACTTGATATTTTTGCTATAAATCTTAATAAAAAAAAACTAACAATTATTCATTTTTACAATACAAAATTTAATTATTTAGTGAATATAAATGAAAAAGTCGGGATTATATACGGTGTGTTTTGAAAAGGCAAACTGAAGAATACCTGTACTTAGTGATTTGATATGGGTATAGTTATCGGAGGAGTTTAGCTAATATTTTAATGTTTAATATTGCTGCATTAAATTAAATTTCTTAAAATTAATATGCAATATTTTGTTATATTCTATTAGATGAGATTTGAACAATTAATTTAAATATAAATTATCTATCAAAATTAATGTTACATTAAATTCTTTCATTTCGATATGTTTTTAATTAACAAACAGTCGCGCCATTTAAAGAATTTATGTTATAGAAAATCTGAAAATTTATTTGACTAAAATATTATGCCACTGACAAAATTGTTCCGATAATATAAACAACTGATCTATAAGATTACTATCGTGGGGAACTTTAAAATATTATATTCAAAAATTTACTATGAAAATGACTTATTCTTTATGTATGTAGTTATATTAAATATATATTTCAAAAATAAATTATATGTCAAAATCCATTGTTTTAGAAATATAATCTGTGAATTATTAAAAATTATTAATTTATGTAGTTTATTGATGAATTGTACTATTACCATTATTCTTACTATTATTAGATTCATTGTGATTATTCTGAAAGAATTTGATTTGCTTACTTTTATCACCTGAAATAACATCAAAAATATTATGTATATTAT